TTTATCTTGTATTATTTTTCAATATTGTTCACCTAATTCATGAGCAAGCATGGTCAACTGTCAAAGAAAGGCTCATACATTTGAGAATGGGGATATAAAACATAAGATTAAACTAAGTTCATTTTCCCAACCAATGTTAAAAATTGAAAACGGGGAGATTACATCTTTGATAGTTTAAAAACTGAAAACAGCTTGTGTACAGATCTATTAAAATCAATTAGATTTTATTTAATTCTTATTAACAAAAAAGAATAAAAGAACCATTGTAAGTATATTGCTATAACAATGCTCAGACCAGTTTTTTACATATCAGCTGTTACACCCAAAACATGCTGCTTTTGGACTCTGTGTCAAATATATAACAATATTGTAGACCAAATTGGATGTGAAATAATAAAGACTGATATAAATACAAAAAAAAATTCAATAAACTTAGAATCAGGGAGTGGAGGAGACATAATAACCAGATGTTTAATTTAAATCACTGATAGAAATAGTCAGTGTCCTCTTTTCATAAAACACTTGGAAGTTATTTGTATTCAAGAGCAATGGTAAATGTCAAATGACTACTAGACCATCCTTCTGAATACAAGAAAATATCATGCTGTTTAACTCTCTAAACACAAAAAGTGCTTTTAGAAAAACAAAGATAAAGAGCAGCATGTCTTAGTCACAGAGATCAATTTGAGGACCAGAAAATGCTAACAGACACCGTAAGCATAACAGTAAAGTCTTTCAATTACTACACATTTTAAAATTTTGAACTTAAAAAAAGTTCACAGATAAGAACTATTAAAACCTAGGATAAATGTTACACATAAAGGACTGTGACAAGTATTGAAATTTATCTTAATGTGAGAAATCCTGTATTAAAACTAGCAACATTCAGGATAAATTATTATAATAAGTATTGCATGTAAATTAGTATCTAAAAGTTCCATTATACTTTCAATATGAAAGAAAATAATGAACTTAGTTTAAAAATTAAGAATTTTATATATAAATGTCAATTGCATGTGAATCCCAGCTATGACACAGAAAATTGACTGATTAGCCATTCACTTTTCTTGTTTGTCCTCACTTAGTTTTTACTGCAACGATGATGGAAAAATACATCCACTGAAAAGCCAAAGAAAGTCAAAGAAATAATCTAAATTTAATAGAAATAGTATGACCTTCCCCTGAACAAAAGACGTTGAAGAGATTAAATGAGAACATGTGTAAAGTGCCTATCAATTACCTGGGTAATAAAGGTTACTTTCGTCCCCTCGATCCTTACAAGGCTCACTATTATCATTATGTCTTATGTCACCTAAAGAGAGTGACCTTTGAGAACAGCAGGAACTCAGTGCCCCACAGTCTGAGACACAGTACCATGTATTTAGTAGGGGGCTAATAAATGCTTTCTGATTTACTGGAGGATAACAATAATGAACGAATGTAAAACAGAATTAATTGATAGGCTAAACACATTAGTGCATTCCAGTGCCCTCTATATGGAAGGTTACTAACCCATCTCAGCTAAGTGCTGAAATTATAATTAAGTCTGATGGGAAGTTCTAGATTTATACCAATATAATTACAAATATTACTTAGCTTAGTAATATAGTATGGCAAGAACAATGAGATGAGTAATTTAGATGATACTGTAAAGTGGGTTTTAATGTTTGAAACTTCTATTACAGTATACAGGATAAGTGCAAGTAGTGTAATTAAAACCTAAAAGAGCCTGATCTTTAAAACTCTACTGCTCAACCTCATTAAAATGCATGTTTTCTCAATTAATCCAAACTTTTCCATTAAAAACATAAAAATACACTTTCATTCCTTGCAAATAAATCTCTACAATACATATATTCAGGATCAAACACCAAATAACCATTACAGTTAAGTAGGAAAAAAATGACTGAAATAGCACAAGGTTTGAGTACATGAAGCCTAACAAAGGGAAGGAAAGGCAAAGTGAGAGCTCTCGACATTTTCATTTGTAAATTATCCAGCTACAACAAAATAAGCATTTAAAGAACTAGAAGATTAGAAATCCACTCTCCCATCTTTATTTAAATGATACAAACCTTAGCAAAATATTTACTTAGATAACTCATATAACCATGTATATACTGTATCTTATTTATCAATTATAGTAGTCTCCCATTAAATGACTCTTCTACACATGTCCTGCACACAGAAAATTGTTGTGGAATATAATCACCTTATTGCAGAAACAGTTTTCTACTTTTTTTTTTTTTTTTTTTTTTGAGACAGATTTCGCTCTTGTGGCCCAGGCTGGAGTACAACGGCATGATCTTGGCTCACTGCAACCTCCGCATTCTGGGTTCAAGTGATTCTCCTACCTCAGTCTCCAGAGTAGCTGGGACCACAGGCACGCGGCACCATACCCAGCTAATTTTTGTATTTTTAGTAGAGATGGGTTTTCACCATGTTAGCCAGGATGGTCTCAATCTCTTGACCTCATGATCCGCCTGCCTCGGCCTCCCAAAGTGCTGGGATTACAGGCGTGAGCCACCACGCCTGACCCAGTTTTCTACCTTTAATTCAATGCATTACCAAGAAATTTATGGTAATACATTGAACTAATGTTAGATATTTAAAACCACAAGATAATATTTATGAACTTTATTATGTGTTATGAATAACTTTTTAAAAATTACTTTAAATTGTCTACATAGGATGTTGATTATAGAGAAGAATTTCACTTTGTACACTTTGTTTTCAGGAAAGTTAATTTATTTGAATTTTCTTTTTCTTAAATGTTTTAATTTCAGTAACTTTAGGGGCACAAGTAGTTTTAGTTACATGGATGAATTCTGTCGTGGTGAGGTATAGGATTTTAGTGTGCCCATCACCTGAATAGTGTACATTGTACCCAATAGGCTGTTTTTATCCCTCACCCCCTCTGAGCCTCCTCACTTGGAGCTCCCATGTCTATTGTAACACTCTACATGCCTTTGTGTACCCACAGTTCAATGCCCCCTTATAAGTGGGAACACATGGTATTTGGTTTTTGATTCCTGAGTTACTTCACTTAGAATAATGACCTTCATTCGGTTCCATTTTCTTTAGAAGATGATATATTTCATATGGTGAATATTATTCAAAAACAAGAGAGAATTTTTAAAAATGGTGATCACATGCCCATTCTAGAGGAGTACATTTTTCAAGAAAAATTTTACTAAGAAAGAAGAGTGAAGTCAAGGCTATCACATAAAGAGTAATTCAGGGTAATTTAAGAAAATATTACTAAAATTTACCAAAACTGGGGAAAATGATTTTATTTTAAAGTATAAAAGGAAATTAAAAGAGGAGAGGCCAGACATGGTAACTTATAGCTCATGCCTATAATCCCAGCACTTTGGGAGGCTGAGGTGAGGGGGGATCAATTAAGGCCAGTAGTTTGACACCAGCCAGGCCAACAGAAACCCCATCTCTATTAAAAATACAAAACTTAGTTGGACGTGGTAGTACACACTTATAATCCCAGCTACTCGGGTGGCTGAGGCAAGAGAATCCCTCGAACCCAGGAGGTGGAGGTCACAGTGAGTGGAGAACATGCCACTGACCGCACTCCAGCCTGGGTGATAGAGCAAGATTCGGTTTCAACAACAACAACAAAAAGGCGGGGGTGGGGGGGAATTTCTTAAATTTAAAGCATTATCTGACACAAATTATTTCTCCTATTTTTAAAAGAATATTTAAATCTAAATAGGCTCTAATTTTAGCTGAAATAGTGCTTTCTATTTTGAAAGGAAAATATTTTTGGAAACTTATCTTTTAAAAACAAATCTTGGAAACTTACTGGGCAAGACTCCTCTCATGCTCATATTTACAAATCTACCTAATCAGTAGTGCTAGCACCACTCTGCAGTTGTTTTCATTATAATAGTCTACTTCTAAGGGTTTTCCTGTATCTCTCTCTTCCTTCCTGCATTATTTCAAAGAAAAATGGGTTAATCATTATTCATAAGAAAAAAACTTCTGATTCTATACTGTATATTAAGCTATTCATCACATGACTTCAATTTCTGAAACAAATTACATATACATACTGAGAACAAAATGTCATCCTTAGGTGCTGATACGATTTGGATTTGTGTTCCCACCGAAATCTCCTGTCAAATTGTAACCCCAATGTTGGAGGAAGGGCCTGTTGGAAGGTGACTGGATCATGGGGGCAGATTTACCCCTTGCTGTTCTCCTGATAGTGAGTGAGTTCTAACAAGAACTGGATGTCTAAAAATGTGTAGTACCTCCCACATCACTCTCTTCCTTCCTTTTCCAGCCATGTAAGATGTGTCTGCTTTTTACCATGCTTGTAAGTTTCCCGAGGCTTCTCCAGCCATACTTCCTGTACAGCCTGCAGAACTGTGAATTATACCTCTTATCTTTATAAATTACCCAGTCTAAGGTAGTTCTTTATGGCAATGCTAGAATGGGCTAATACAGGCGCAGTGGCGTATGCCTGTAGTCCCAGCTACTTGGGAGGCTGAGGCAGAAGGATTGCTTGACCCCAGGAATTGCACCTGGGAAACACAGTGAGACTCCATCTCTGAAAAAACAATGTCACCTTTAAGAAAGGGTTTAAATGTTAATGCTTCAGATAGTTTCTCCAAATCATAAAATCAACCACAAATGTTGCAAAAATGTTAAAGCGACAAAGAACATATCATTACAAACTTACAAGCGTGGCAAAAAGCAAGCACTTCTTAGATGGATAACAAAGAAAATATTCAACAGCCTACTATTGTTACAATTGTTGAGGCAAATATTTGTATTAAAGCACCTAAAAACTTTGCTGCACTTACAAGCAATAGATGCATTAAAAGTATAGATCTAGATGATTTTCAAAACTGAAACATAACAATTTGAAAAGGCACAGCTGCATTCAATTTTAGTTAAGGACATGCCTTGTTATAACAATAATTAGTATTTGCTAAATGTTTTCCTCTAGAAAAGTATTTTTAACATGTTACAAAGGTTACCTGTCATTTATGATCCAGTTCAGACAGAGATTGAGAGAGCTAAGATTTTTGCACCTCTTGACAATTTCCATCACGGTTTCATTATCCAGTTCAGTGATATGACGAAGGTCCAAGCTGGAAAGGTTTCTTAGCTAATGAGATAAATAAAATGAAAGATGAAAAAGGTAAATGCTACATTCACTCTCAAAACTTACAAATGTAGTTTATTACAAGGTAGAGTATCATCGTAAAATATTTAAAATAGATGATAGCCTAGAATCTTTTAATTAAAGATATTGTATATGTAATATTTTATACACTAAATTAAGCATGAGTGTATAGAAATCTATGGTGAGTATCTGAATGGCAACAAACATTAACAGAAAGTAGATTTGGCCAGGTGCAGTGGCTCACATCTGTAATCCCAGCACTTTGGGAAGCTGAGGCAGGTAGATCACGAGGTCAGGAGATTAAGACCATCTTGACCAATATGGTGAAACCCCACCTCTACCAAAATACAAAAAATTAGCTGGGCATGGTGGTGCATCCCTGTAATCCCAGCTACTTGGAAGGCTGAGGCAGGGGAATTGCTTGAACCTGGGAGGCGGAGGCAGCAGTAAGCTGGAATCGCGCCACTGCACTCCAGCCTGGTGACAGAGCAAGACTCCATCTCAAAAAAAGAAAAAAAGAAAGAAAGAAAGAAAGATTTTACTCAAGTATCCTAAAAATCAAGTTACCAATCTATTGTCTAATAGGCAGGCAAGGTATTGAATATATTACATTAAGTACCTACAATTTGATAAGATTATTCTAACATTGTTCAAATTCAGATATTACCTTCATAATTATAATGCCATTTCTGTATATATATTTTTTTATTTTTTTAAAGATGAAATATGACTAAATGGTTAATTCAGAGATAGCTTGGTGATGTATTATCAATGTACTCCAAACTGTACTATTATGGGTATGTGTTTCATCATAAAATGATATAAAATGTGGCTTAAGAAGCAAAAGTTTCTCCAGGTTCCACCTTCTCCATGTCTTCATTTTCTGTTTAAGTTTCTTATCTTCCCCTGATGTTTAGCCTCTAAAGCAAATTAATGACAATATTTACATAAAGGTGGTAGGATCTTATCTTAATTATCCTCTTCAAATAACTACCTTTTCAAATATTAAGCTATTTTTGCTTAATAATATGCAAAACTTAATCTGGAGACATATGATAGACCAAATAACACAAATATCCCTCCCACCAAAGATATCTATGCTCTAATATGTTACCTTATAAGGCAAAGGGGATTTTGCAGATGTGATTAAAGGTATGGATCTTGAGATGGGTAGACGATCCCAGGTTATCTGAGTAGGCCCAGTGTAATCACTGGAGACCCTGACAAGCACAGGCTTACTCAGAGAAAGCCAGAGAGATGTAATGGAAGATACAGGAGATGTTTCACTCATGAAAGGGATTCAAGATACCTTTACTAACTTCAAATATTGAGGAAAGGGCCAGAAGCCAAGGAATATGGGCAGCTTTAGAGTTGGAAACAGCCCTCAGCTGACAGCCAGAAAGAAATAAGGACCTCAGACTTAGAACCTTAAGGATTTTAATTCTGCCAAAAAAAAAAAAAAAAAAAAAAAAAAAACCTGTAAGAGCGAGCAAGAAAATAGATGCTTCCTTCAGAAACACAGCTGACATCCTGAATTTACCCTAGTGAGACCTGTGTCAGACAGGCTTCTAACTTATAGAATCGTGAAATAATAAACTAGTGCTGTTTTAAGTTGCTAAGTGTGTGAGAATTTAAGTCAGTTCAGCTTAAACCCCAAGAGAAGAGCAGACACTTGAATCTCCACTGAAAATGTTCTATATTTCTGCTGTCTGATATAGTAATCACTAATCACTTGTACCTATTGAGCACCTAAAATGTGACCAGTGTGACAGGGGACCTGAACTTTTAATTTTATTTAATTTTAAATAATTTGCATTTAATTTTTATATCTGCACGTGGCTAATGGCTACAGTGTTGGACAGGACAGCTCAAAAGAATGGTCGTTGGAAGGATAGGAGGTAAACCTGCCAGGCAGTACTCACACTCTCTTTCCACTTCAGCTCCCAATCGGAGAAGCTACACAGAGAGAGTTCACAGAGTCACTACTCAATGCTGTCTGAAGCATGCTGCTCAACTATGGAGAGAGAGATAGCTGCCACACGTAAAACACAAAAAGGTCCACAACAGCAGGTAAATTCCTTCTAACTGAGACAGCAAGTGTATGTACCAGCTTCTTCTAAGAGCTAGGTTGTAGGCATTAGTAAAGGCAGAGCTTCAGGAAAAGCTCTCTGCAATTGGCTTATCAGGTAAGACGTCCAAGGAAGTCACATCCAGTCCAGTATGGGACTCAGCAAAATGATGCTCCAGAACAGACGCAGGACAAGCAAAGAAGAAATGGGTTCTCCAAAGTTCCTATTCAATAACCACACGTTAAGGGTTTCAGCAACATCAGAACATAATTGGTACTTGGCAACCAAAGCACACAGGAATGGACTCGCTAAAACAGACCTTTCTGGCTGTCTCAGTAGCTTCAGGCAACTGACCAGTCAGAACCTTGGTCAACTCCCTCAGTTTCCCCTTCCTCAAGGTTCGTGTTACTAAAATAATTATAATCAATACTAAGCCCAGGGCTCAAAGGTGAGCTGTTTGGGCTGCAAACACAGCCCCTGATTCCTATGTCTTATCTCTCATTGTAGCTAACTTTTTTTTAAGTATCTAAAAGTACAAGAAGAAGAGAGACAAATAAAATACAAAATAAATAGCAAAATAAGTTTCTATAACTTTTCTGACCTCACTAGAATTCACCTTAGGGAATAAAGGGCTGATATGAATGCTCTTTGCTATGTGTTCTTCCTTCCCAACACGTGATCTGCATGTGGTGGGCACAGAAATTGAAATCACCCACAGTCATGGCTGTGCTTGGAGCAAAATGGAAGGCCAACATCTTTTATGAACAGGAGACACCAGAAGGATAGATGGCAATGTACATCTATCAATTCACTAGTTCTGTGGGTCAGGAGACCAGACATGGCTTAGCTGTGTCCTCTGCCTAGGGTTTCTCAAGGCAATCAAGATCTCAACTGGGGCTATATTTCTTTCTAGAGCTCAAGTCCTCTTACAAGCTCATGTAGTTGCTGGAAGAATTCATGGGATGGGATGGGATGGGATGAGATAGGATGGCAATAAAATGAAAGAAACAATGGTAATGTCAAAAAGCACAAGTCTCAGACTCAGTGTTTTTTTGTTGTTATTTTTCATGAGAGGAAGGAAATAGCCTGAAAGCAGCTCTGGAAAGCAAAGAGGATCCTGCCCTCACCTCCTGACCCTGAGAGAAACACACTGAGAAAATGTGGTAGGCAAAATTCTACGATGATCCCAATGGCCTTTGCTCTATAGTAATCCCTGCCCCCTTGAGTGTGGACAGGACCCATGATTAGGACGGAAATTCTCCTTATAAAGCAAAGAGATTTTGCAGCTGTAATTATGGTTCCTGATTAGTTGGCACTGAATGAATCAAAAGGGAAAGTATCCTAGGTGGGCCTAACATAATCAGTTAAGCCCTTACAAAGGGTCTAGAGGTCAGAGAAATAATCCTGCTTGGCCTTGAAGAACTAAGCAACTGTGTTGTGAAAAGGACTATGGGAGGCTTCTGAGGATTGGCCACTGGCTGAGGGCCAGCAAGAAAATGAGGATGTTAGTTCTACAACCACGAGGAACCGAATTCTTCCAGCAACTACATGAGCTTATAAGAAGACTTGAGCTCTAGAAAGAAATACAGACCCAGCTGACATCTTGATTGCCTTGTTAAACCATAGGCAGAGGACACAGCTAAGCTATGTCTGTCTGGTCTCCTGACCCACAGAACTAGTGAGATGATAAATGCACATTGTTTTAAGCTGCTAAACTTGTAGTAATTTGTTGTGTATCAGTAGAAAACAAATACAGGAGGGCTGTGGGGAGGTTGTATTGCTGAAGAAAAGTCAGGCTTCACTCAAGACAAGGGGAATATCCTTGCCCACTTTAAAGGCTGAGGCTCTCTGTCCTTCTTCAGATACTTATGCTCACGAAAGCACAGAGTGAGAGGCTTAGTCTATTCAGCCTTCTCCTCTAGGTTTGTCTTCAGCTTCCAAGAAAATACTTCCTAGAAAACAGTCAGTTATGATGTGGCCACTCTTGTCAGAAGAAAGAGAAACAGAGACAGAGAGGCCGAGACAGAGACAGAGACAGAGAAAGATACCTAGAAAGTGGGGAGGTCCTCCTAAATTTCTTAAACCGACTCTTACTCATGGGAAGATGGGTTTAATGGAAACACTTTATGGAAATATTTGCACAGCTTCTGGCCTTTACTCAATTCATAGTTGTCAATAGTCATGTACTTCCATATATATCTTAACACAGGTTAACTGCCTTTTTATGTTCCCTAAAGTTTTATTTTTCACAAGATTTTGCATTAGGGCTAGAGAGGTGGATAAAATGGTTTCACTGGTCAAGTTTTCTTGTTTTTGATTGAGCAAAGATGAATTTGTATGTGTCAAGGATCTGAGTCACTGTTAAATTTGATAATCCTCATATTACTGTTCCCCACACTTCTATTTTCTACCTAAAAATCACCATTTTTTAAAATCACATTGTCTTTACAGCTAACTTTCTTTATAGGGCATTTTTGATCCCTATACCCAAAAAGTTTTTATCACTGTTGGAAATATACTGTTCCAGTAACATGTAAAAAGAACCAGACAGCCCTTGAGAACTGCAGATGCTAGGCAGGTTTCTGGGCTCATGTGCTGACAGCAGCCCCATGTTGGTATCACAGGAAAAGAAGAAATAAACTACATTAAATGGACCTATAGGGCTGTCTGAAAATACTTTGACATACGACTCTTAAACCTATAAACATTAAGGATTAATTTTGCTATTTGTAACTATATGCATATGTGAACTACTGAATAAAACCATACTAAATATACATATAGCATGACTTTATTTTCCCAATTTATCTTTTACCATAGTTTCTAGGAAGATTCAAAGTCACAAAAATGTTATCCAGCTACATAAATATCTCCTACACATACATATTTGGGGTTCTAGCACAGCTTCTGACA